CTCAGATTGTGAGTCGAGCGCCTTATCCACCTGGCCTGCCACTTGGGGGCAAAATTCAAATGACATTGATAACGACAACTCGGGTAATGATGACAATGATCTAGAAACACGTAATCAATCCAGACGTAATTCTAGATGAGTGTTGTCCAACACGTTCGCCACTCGCCTCATTTGGCGAATTGATGCTCTTCATCATTTATATTTTTTCTTCGATTTTCGTATTAATATTCGAAATTTACGTTACCGTATTTTACGTTCTATCAGTCTTGACTGCTGACGGTTTAAAACCTATTTTTAAAAAGATTGCGCATTTGTTTTATTAATATTGCATATATTTTGTATTGTATGGCGAATATGGTGACCTGATCACAAAAGTTTGGCGAGCATCGAAGTCCTATCGGACAACGCTGCTCTAAATGCAGTACCAAGATCTGGGTGGGGGTGTCCTAAATGGTGGGATGCGAATATTCTTACGGTTCTGAAATATCTAAAAACTTGCATCACATTTAAATCAACAGTTTCGTATCTGTTTTAGATTAGGGAAAATAAGTAGTAAAAAAAAAGGGAAAAAATAATGTTCTTCTGGTTGTTGAAGAGGCAAAATATACAATAAACAAAGGAGGATTGATCTGAAATAAAATTACACTGATGTATATTAATATGATTTAAAGATTATTGTCAACTCTAGCACATATATTAATATTTTTTATGAATTACTTTCTATCGCCACTAGGTTAAAACTGACGGTTTAAGTGCCGAGGTATGATGTGAAATAAGATAATGATGTAAGGGTCTTATACGCTGACTCTATGTTGGTAGCTTCTCCTGTAAGCTGGGGTTTTAGTCCTACTTCTGGTGGAATTTTATTTATAATTCTGAAATAACATACCATACGAAAATGTAAGATATCTGTTATATACTCGTAGGTTAATAAGCTTTCAAAAAGTTGTAAAACGTATTGCTTTCTTATCTTCGCCATCCTGCTCTTTTACAGTATCCGAGTCAGAATGCTTAAACTGAATAGCGCAGTGTATTGAGATTTTAATTAATATAAAAATAAAGCTCATTTATTCAGAAAATAGTTTTACTAAATAAACAATATATATATATATAATAAAACATCTGATCATTTTGTATTAAAAGCATTTAACATTTTAAAGCATAAGAAACAATGATTCTAGTTTGCCCAAAGGGACTCTTAAATAAATGAAATATATTCGTTTCCAAGTAAAAATATCAAGAGGCATTATAATTGGTTCAGTCAAGTTAACAGACCAATAGATGGAGTAACAATATTGTTTCTGTATACACAAGGACAGAACTTTTGGACACAGTTTTTCCTAAAGTTGGAGTGCAACTATTCTCATGGTTTTGAACATATAGAATACAATATGAGACACATTACACCTTGAATATATAAGACACATTACACCTTGAACATATATAAGACACATTACACTTTGAATATATAAGACACATTACACCTTGAACATATAGAATATATGACACATTACACCTTGAACATATAGAATATGACACATTACACCTTGAACATATAAGACACATTACACCTTGAACATATATAAGACACATTACACCTTGAACATATATAAGACACATTACACCTTGAACATATAGAATATATAAAACACATTACACCTTGAACATATAGAATATATAAGACACATTACACCTTGAACATATAGAATATATCAGACACATTACACCTTGAACATATAGAATATATAAGACACATTACACCTTGAACATATAGAATATATAAAACACATTACACCTTGAACATATAGAATATATAAAACACATTACACCTTGAACATATAGAATATATGACACATTACACCTTGAACATATAGAATATATAAGACATATTACACCTTGAACATATAGAATATATAAGACACATTACACCTTGAACATATAGAATATATAAGACACATTACACCTTGAACATATAGAATATATAAGACACATTACACCTTGAACATATAGAATATATCAGACACATTACACCTTGAACATATAGAATATATCAGACACATTACACCTTGAACATATAGAATATATCAGACACATTATACCTTGAACATATAGAATATATCAGACACATTACACCTTGAACATATAGAATATATAAGACACATTACACTGCATTTAAATCAGCAACTTCATATCCATTTTAGACTAAGGGAACTTACCCGTCATACAAAGTGGTTCTTCTTGTTGTGGAAGTAAAACATAACACAAACAAAGTGTGTACGTCACAGAAAGATAAAAACTAAATCAAACCGGTAGATACCGATTTAAACTATGGAATCAACCCGCTTTGACATCTTTAGCACGTATGGCAATTAAAAACATTTTTAATACTTTTTTAACGTTTAATGAATCCAATAAACAGAAAGCGATATAAAAGTGGTCAATCCGAATGAAAACAGAATGATTAACTATTCGTGTTGCAGTGACATCTGATAGTGCGAACTAAAACCTCACATTAGCTTGGATTTTTTTGAGACATTTGATAATTATGTAACATGTGACATACCTTAATAAAAAAAAAGGTCAAGAAGTGACATATATAATATATATGTGCAAAAAGAATAATAATATTTTATGAAATTCATAAAAGAGCCCCTGCAAATGTGTAATGTAAAAATGAGTAAGTTAAAAAGAAAAAAAAATGAAATACTTGGTCTCCATTTTCATTCCAACTGGAACAACAGTAGTTGTGAAATGTTATGAAGAGTTACCTGCTCATCACATCTAGAATACTCTCTAGCTAAAACAATACAAGTGTCTTAAAATATATCTCATAACAGTATTATTTGTCAGCCTCTTTTGACCCATTTTTTTTATTTACGTGTTTTTAGTGGACATGTATCCAACATGTATCTTTATGCCTGCATAATGCATACATAAATCGTATTACGTTCTTGCTGAAAACAGAATGAAATACATTCATTAAATGTACAGTAGAATAAACAAAGCATAATTAAGATTTAGGCAGTTACATATATAACAGACGATTTAAAATAATGCATTAAGTGATCATTGTAAAATGTTCTCAGTGTATTTGTATATCTGCATTCATATATATATATATATATATTATGTTATGAACAAGTGACACTACAAATGAAAATGCAAACAAACATCTGAATTAATAAAATTTGGAAATATCCCAGTATAAATCAGAAGTAAAATCAAAACAACTGAAATAGAGTATGTTCATAAAACAAACAGTAACACAAGGTTCAACGTTTTATTAACATCAACCAACCACATTGTTAATTCTTGTTTTTTTTACCATATCCCATTTCAGTTGTTTTGATTTTATTAAATGTTTTACTTAAAATTTAGAAACTTTCTTTTTGTTATATTCAAAGTGTTTCATGAAGTACTAGCATGACAGAAATATTCCTTTCTAAACTTAACAACTTAGAGAATGTAGTGTAGTTTTAAAACAGACAAACACAGTGACTGGTAAATCTTTTATTCACTACAATTTTTGTTAACACTGCATGAATAACATTCTATACAAAAAAAATAAAAATAACAAAAGGAGTTTAATAGTGTTATTTTTTTATTAATGTATTATGTTCCAATGAAAAAAGTCTTTTCTTAGCAATAATGCACAAATGAATTAGTGAGTAATATAATACAAATGCTGTTTATGAAATCAGTATATTTTCATGCAAAAGGCACCAAAAGTTAAACCAACTTCTTTTATGTTGGGTTACTATACATATGAAACATATTACTACAACATAAGTGATGAAACAAAGTCTCAAAAACTGACAAACCTGTAACATAAAACTATAACTATGTGTGGTTGCTAACAATGACACCAGGACGAGACTGTTTCAGAGAAGAATCATGAATGATTTGTTGATCAATAGAAATGTTGCTAGTTTTCTGTGATACGAAATTAAAAACAGGTTCATGAGAAGAAATATCATCTGATACTCTCCTTTCTGACTGTGGTTTCCTTGGTGGCTCTGGATCATCTCGGAACATGTGGTCACCTTCTAGGTGGCGAATTGCTTCCACAATTGTTTCCAGGTTTTGGCGAGAAGTGCTGCTTACTTGATAAGTGTGAGGTGATGTGATGCAGTGAACACTTTCTCCAGTCCTAGATGGTTTTAGAGAGGAACCACAAACTTCAGTGGTAGTAGTTTGTGAAGTCTGACCAAAAGAGTCCAAGATGTGCAACTGTGATGAACATGTTTCTATGTTAATGGAACGAGAGGTGAATATAGGCAAGTTCTCTTCAGGGAAATCTTCCGAATTGTCCACATGATGAGTTGGACTTCTTGGAGAAGGAGCAAACACATTTTCAGTTTTCTGTAGCCCAGAAGTTAGGCTAGAAGAACATCCACCAGAAAAAACAAAAGGGAACTGCTTTTGCTGCAGAGGTGGTAGGTCTGCACTGAAATCCTTCAAATTATAGAAATCCAAATAACAATTATAATTCCAAATAAGTATACTTCCTAATGAATAACAAACAATTATTCAATAATAATACTATGAGTATGAAAAAGGTATATCAAATAATCACCCTTATTTTTGACTGAAAATAGGTTTCAATGCAAAAGAACAAAATTAGTTGACAAAGTAAAGTTTAGGGAAAAATCTTAAATGCATATTAAGATTACAATAATGTCATAATGGTACTTCTTGATGTTCAAGCAGTCACAATCATTTGAGTTAAAGATGTCAAGCTGTTTACATTCAAGAAACAAACAGAAAAGTTTAAGTTAGCTTAGTCAAAAATGAAACACCTTCAAAACTAATAAGTGCACTCTGCCTAAACTGAAATATACACAACCGTTATTAAAAAAAAGAAACTATATTTACCTCTGATGAATTTTGTGGGATTGTTCTTTGTACTTGACCAGGGTTTCAAAGCTTTGAGTTTGTTCTTTGAGCAATACTTGCATCTTGTGTTCCTTGTCTGATTGAATTTGCAGGTCAATCATTTCTTTTTTCATCTCTTCTGATGTATATTCAGTATCACCTATAGGACTCATGCTGCCAATCCCTTCATCTGAAGATTCTACTGCAAGTAAATAGTAAAACCCTCTATTATTCTGACACATTTCATAGAAAAATTATGATTTTCCACATAACAATAACATTACAAAATAAATAAATAAATAAAGAGGTTCTTCAGTTTATAACTAAACTGCCAACTTTAAACTTAAGGACAAATTTAAACTTTTACTAAACTGATTCTTTTTATGCTCACTTGGGAAACAAGTTTTTAAATTAAAAATATTTAAGGCTTTTAGTTTGATAATTTCTTTAATGAAAAAATATTACAAAGAATAGTTTTAGATATCAAAAACGTTAAATTGAAAAAAATTTGAATTTCTAAGCCTAGTAATAAAAATGTCCTTTGAAGGTTGATAATATTCTGTTTTGTATTTTCAAATTATTAATATATTATTATAATTCCTCAGAAACTACAACCAAATCAAATGCTTTAACTCAATGTTGCTGATATGGAATCTTTGTTTTTTAAATTCTAAATTATTTTAGATTGCAAACTAACCCTAATATACCTCAACGTAACTTCTTATGTTAATGTGAGAGTACTTGTTAATTACAAAATAAAAGTATGTTATGAAAGGCCAATCTGTGAATTAATAGTTATGGTATACAGAAGCCAAGATTACTACTGCTTTTAGCACTACTCTTTAAAAGTTCAACATTGATGAATAAAGTGGTTCATACTGTATAAATTTTTTAAAAAAAGCTTCAAAGCTTTCTGCTAAAAAAAGCATTCAAAGTTAAGTTTTAATTATACTTTTCTAAGCTTTATTTTAACCTATATTAGTTAACTAGAATAACAATTCTGATTTTGAAACATTTGGTTCAGAAGTTATATTATAACAGTTTTTGATTCTATTTTTCAATAATGATTATTTATTGACTTCACACTAGCTTAAGTAGTATTAAGTAATGTTCTTATAGTTGTCTCTGGGTTATGTTTACCCCGTGGATGTACCTGTTTCAGTTTTCTTGCGTTTAGGTAGTGGAGATTCAGGGTTGCTTCCATCACTATCCATATGCATCTGAGAATTGAGCAGCCTCTTCAGTTGGCAATTCTGAGCCAACAGTCTGGCTTTTTCCTGCTCTAACTGATAGATGTATTCAGTTGTCTGTTGCAATATGGCAGCCTACAGGGTATGGAGAGAGTAAAATTTAGTTTATGCATATTTAATACTAAAAAATCAACCCTATGAATATAACTGATTAACAGATGAATGTGTTAGCAGGAAATATCAATTTTCAATTTGCATATTCATGATGAAAAAACTGTTTGGTTAAATTCACTTTAACACAATAAAGTTATAAGAAGGTAAGCTTCAAATTCACCAGTTTTGACAAGTTATTTGGCAAAATTAGAAGTAATATTTACAGAACTGTGTTTAAAAAAAAATGAAAATATAGATAATTGACTTCAACACCCTTTCTATGTAATAAATAAATCAGTAACACATGAAAGTTACAAAGTGCATAAACTGAAATCTGGCAAAGCCTAGTTTATAATACTTCATACTTTCCTAGCTACAGCATTATATGCTAAATAATGACAAGCAATAACTTAAACAATACTTTAATTAGAGCTTCAGTTGTTCAACTTAGCTGCCCTAATAAACTTATACTAAGCTAAAGGCTTCATCTGTCTCAACTTACACAAACAAAATTAAATTAACATATTGTTAATACACTTTTCTTACCTGTATATAGCCATTTAAGAATTATACTGACTATTATAATCTATCAAAATTCATGCTTAGCATAATAACACATATACAATTTAAACAAGTTTGAACATAATTTCTTTAACATATAAATGAAATATTTGTTCAACTATTTGAACCATACATCCTTTTTTTTTTACTAAAGTGTTCATACACAGACATTTCCTGTGTAAAATAGTAATATTTCAACACAATAAACTGTGAACAATTGAAGTAAACCACAAAAGTTACGGTATTTCCTAGTGAAACTCAACTCCCAATTTTAACTTTCTATCTTAAAAGTGGTTCTATTTGGGGTTTGAAAGAGTTTACAAGTTTTTTTTTAGGAGCTCATTTTGGAACATGCATAATTATCTGAAGGCCTAATAAAGCTGATTCAAATTTTATTAGTTTTTATTTAAAAAACAAAAAGTTCAACATTTTCACATCCATTCAAGTGGCTCTCTCTCCAAGAAAGACACAGAGAAAAGATATTTTAGCATAATGCGTTGCTTCCATGTTAGAATTCTAATATTACAGTCAGTATATCATGTGGCCAACTGATATAATGCATTCAGTTTATTAGCACACTTTCCTAAAGCAAACAATACATGGGGATTCCTGAAGCGCGAGAGAAGTAAGAGGGAGAGACATAGTCGGGGGAGGGGGAAGATTTTTCCGTCTCCTCAAAAATACCAGTCAAAACTACAAAAGCCCATGTCTTCTGGTACAATGCAACTGTAGTTGATAAAGTCTCACCTAACGAAATATCATCCAATCTCTGGTTAGCCACGTTACTTCTACAGCCAATCAGAGAAAGAACTAAGAACACTTAAAAGCTATTCAATGTGAACCACCTTTGTGATTTTGAGTTCACTAAAAGTAAAAATTCATGAAAACATACTGCATCAAAAATAATCCTACTAATTTATCTTCCATGAATCTACCCTTCTCATATGCGGAGGAACCAGAAAGAGTCATCCCCACCCCTAGTCACTGAACTCTGTCTGGGTTCTAATGTGTGGTGTATCAAGTCATGGATTCGAAAGCGATTTGTAGACTGTGACCATGCGTAGTAGGCTACCACAGTTGACCACAGAGTCCGAAGATCCTGTCAGAGCCACTGAACTCTGTCTGGGTTCTAATGTGTGGTGTATCAGGTCATGGATTCGAAAGCGATTTGTAGACTGTGACCATGCGTAGTAGGCTATCACAGTTGACCACAGAGTCCGAAGATCCTGTCAGAGCCACTGAACTCTGTCTGGGTTCTAAGACGCAAAACGTGCTCTATTTGCGCTAGCCACTGAACTCTGGGTTCTAAGGCACAGAAACGCGCTCTCTTTGCATCAGCCACACAACTAAAGTAACATTGATGTCACAGGTAATAAATAATTCACGGAACTTAAAAAAGAAGTCCAAATGCTGAAAATGTGAGGAAATGGGTGATTAAAAAAAAGGGTAAAAGGTTCCGAAAGCCAGCGAAAGAATGTAATACTCATTAAGTACCCACGACCCATCGATGTACTTCCTTGCGAGCGATGAAACACGGGAAATTATCTAAAACTACATGGAGATGTCACCGAAAATATAAATTTTGGTTTGTTCGAATGAACATGAGAGTAAGGTGGCCTGGCGCCAGTCATAATCCTGTTTATTACATTATCGGTTAAAATCTTATAATAGGTAGGTCGCGTTTATTACATTATCCGTCAAAGTCGTGTTACATTGTAGGTCCGTTTTTTTTACGTTATTTGTGAATTATTAGATGAACGGTTGTAACACACGTGCAATCAGTCGTACGAGGGCACGCTGGTTGTAGTGAAATGATAACACAGGTACGATATTCTAAGAAATATATAATGATTTATTAACTGTTTGTTGGGATCTTTCACCACCTTATCAACCAACACGTGCAATTTGTTTGAATGGTTTAAATCACGTACTCGAGGGAGCGTTGTGAACCTTGTATCCTGAACACCTACAGTCAGCGGATTCTGATATCATTACATAACAAAATAATTTCTCTCACAGTATTGGATGTATCCTGAACAAACATTATTACGGTATACAAAATGGGTTTTGTTACTAAAACTAAACAGACTTACACAGCTTTTAACTAATTGGTAATTACTAAAAGTAAACAAACTTTCACAGCTTTTAACTAATTCGTAATAACTAAAACCAAACAAACTTTCACAGCTTTTAACTAATTCGTAATTACTAAACAGACTTTCACAGCTTTTAACTAATTCGTAATTACTAAAACTAAACAAACTTTCACAGCTTTTAACTAATTCGTAATTACTAAACAGACTTTTACAGCTTTTAACTAATTCGCAATTACTAACACTAAACAGACTTGCACAGCTTTTAACTAATTCGTAGTTACTAAACAGACTTACACACCTTTTAACTAATTCGTAATTACTAAAACTAAACAGACTTAAACAGCTTTTAACTAATTCGTAATTACTAAAACTAAACAGACTTACACAGCTTTTAACTAATTCGTAGTTACTAAAACTAAACAGACTTACACAGCTTTTAACTAATTCGCAATTACTAAAACTAAACAGACTTACACAGCTTTTAACTAATTCGTAATTACTAAAACTAAACAGACTTACACAGCTTTTAACTAATTCGTAATTGCAGAATTTTCGTTCTGATCTGAGAAAGTGCTTTACCATGAAATGTTAATAATATTTTTAACAGTTCATGTTATGGATTACGCCAGTGACTCCGTATTTTGTATTTATTTTAAACATTGTTTGTAGTTGAGAAACAACGGTTACAATAAATTATATTTTACACATTGTGCCGTGTGATTGTATGAAATTAAAAACCACCATCAATACGAACTTGAAACTCTATCTTCAACAACACTTTATTTACATAATTATAACTTCCCTTCACTTTTCGTTGTTTTGTACTCTTAAATGCGTTTCCTATTTTATACTAATTCAAAGTTCCATTTCCACTGATGCAAAGGAAACAAAACATACATTCTGATACACCATTCTGCAGATATAAAAAGGTTAGCTATCTTATCTGATTATCTATCTATCTTGGTATAATTCTCTGTACTGAATCCAGAGTATGACCCGAAATGCTAATATTGGTAGTCAATATCTCCGTCATTGAAATAAGTGTACTAATTACTGCATAAAACACACCGATTTAATGTCTGAAATTGACTTGTTCAAAGAAAGTTCAATGAAACACAAACACCTGTGAAACATTATATGAATGACTCGGCGAATGCAGAGAAAAAGAAAAACAAAAAGACACAATCTGGAGCTGCTAGCTTGTTCGATGTGGAATGTTAAGTGTATCACTTTTCATTGACGGTTAGTGATAAACACGAACTGAACCTATTTACAAAGGAATTCGTAAAATATCCAATAACAAACGGTGACGTGATGATGAAACCGTCAGTTACGAACTGAAGCCATAGATAAAACGACATTCGAGTGGTGAACCGTGATTTCCGTCTTACCTTCTGTACTGGTGGTATAAAAACATTCGACAAAATACCCGCCCTAACAAGAAAAACAACAGTTTAAAACTATGTAGAACAATTTCGTTACGAACACTAAAGTTACTCTAACTTTTTCAAAAGTTATCCCAGTTACTTTAGGCTAGTTTTAGGACAACCCCTTACTACAGATGAGATATTTGGGCACCGGCGTATTGCACAAGTTGCACTTTTTAAAAAGTAAACCAACAAAAGTATCAAAAACTCGGTAACTTAAAAGTTTAATGTGAAATTAAATTAAATACCCAAAGACACAAAAATTCATAAAATTAGACGCCCAATTATCCAGTAATGAACGTTGTGATCATTGTAGCGTAAAGTCTGAAACCAATCTGTGGGGTATGCACTAGTTAAAAATTACAATGTACAACTTCATACATGTGAGTAAGAGGAAGAGGTCCGAGTGAAACTGACCCCCCCCAGGTCGCGCACAACGACAAAACGCCAATACAGCAACGACACGCAAGAACTAATTAAAAACATGAAATACCTTTTTAGCTGTAACTTTAACCTTCCTCATTAGATACAGACGATATTGTACATGTTATTAACATATACATTACAGGATTATCACCACAAATTACAAAGTACTTCAGTGTTTCTACTCTGGAACATTAAACTAAAGTACTGTTTAACGCATACAGATGATTCTGTTTCTATTTTTTGGATATAAGTATTTTAGTACAGAGGAACAATTTAACCAATTGTAAATATATATAGAACTTGTGCAAAATAAAAACGTTTTAAACATAATTGTTCTGCTCTTTTCCAGAGACCCCCCAGTGGCACAGCGGTATGTCTGCGGACTTTCATCGCTAAAAACCGGGTTTCGATACACGTGGTGGGCCGAGCACAGATAGCCCATTGTGTAGCTATGCCAGTCCCTTGGGACAGG